ACTAGCCCATGGTGCACCACGGCTCATTCTGGTCCTTCGCGGCTAGTCCACGGTGCACCACGACTCATTCAGGAGCACCACGGCTCATTCTGGTGCACCGCGGCTAGCCCATGGTGCACCACAGCTCATTCTGGTGCAGCGCGACTAGCCCATGGTCCACCACAGTTTATTCTGGTGCACCGCGACTAGCCCAGGGTGCACCACAGCTAATTCTGGTGCACCGTGGCTCATTCTGGTGCACCGCGGCTAGCCCATGGTGCACCACGGCTCATTCTGGTGCATCGCGACTAGCCCATGATCTACCGCGGCTCATTGCGGTGCACCGCGACTAGCCCATGGTTCACCCCGGCTCATTGTGGTGCACCGCGGCTAGCCCATGGTGCACCACGGCTCATTCTGGTGCAGCGCGACTAGCCCATGGTGCACCACGGCTCATTCTGGTTCACCGCGACTAGCCCATGGTGAACCACGACTCATTCTAGTGCACCGCGACTAGCCCATGGTCCACCACGGCTCATTCTGGTGCACCGCGACTAGCCCATGGTCCACCGCAGCTCATTCTGGTGCACCACAGCTCATTCTGGTGCAGCGCGACTAGCCCATGGTGCACCACGGCTCATTCTGGTCCCCCGCGGCTTGCCCACGGTGCACCACGACCCATTCCGGTGCACCACGGATCATTATGGTTCACCGCGGCTAGCCAATGGTTCACCTCCGCTCATTCGGGTGCACCACTGCTCAATCTGGTGCACCGCGGCTAGCCCATGGTCCACCACAGTTTATTCTGGTGCACCACTGCTCATTCTGGTGCACCGCGGCTAGCCCATGGTCCACCACAGTTTATTCTGGTGCACCGCGGCTAGCCCAGGGTGCACCACGGCTAATTCTGGTGCACCGTGGCTCATTCTGGTGCACCGCGGCTAGCCCATGGTGCACCACGGCTCATTCTGGTGCATCGCGACTAGCCCACGGTGCACCACGGCTCATTCTGGTGTAGCGCGACTAGCCCACGGTGCACCACGGCTCATTCTGGTCCTTCGCGGCTAGCCCACGGTGCACCACGACTCATTCAGGTGCACCACGGCTAATTCTGGTTCACCGCGGCTAGCCCATGGTGCACCACGGCTCATTCGAGTGCACCACGGCTCATTCTGGTGCACTACGGCTAGCCTATGGTTCACCTCCGCTCATTCGGGTGCACCACTGCTCATTCTGGTGCACCGCGGCTAGCCAATGGTGCACCACGGCTCATTCTGGTCCACCGCGACAAGCCCATGGTCCACCACAGCTCATTCTGGTGCGCCACGGCTAGCCCATGATCCACCACGACTCATTCTGGTGCACCAATGCTAGCCCATGGTCCACCACGGTTTATTCTGGTGCACCGCGGCTAGCCCAGGGTGCACCACGGCTCATTCTGGTGCACCGTGGCTCATTCTGGTGCACCGCGGCTAGCCCATGGTGCACCACGGCTCATTCTGGTGCAACGCGACTAGCCCATGGTGCACCACGGCTCATTCTGGTGCACCACGGCTCATTCTGGTTCACCGCGGCTAGCCCATGGTGCACCACGGCTCATTCTGGTGCACCGCGGCTAGCCCATGGTGCACCGCGGCTCATTCTGGTGCACCGCGGCTAGCCCATGGTGCACCACGGCTCATTCTGGTGCACCGCGGCTAGCCCATGGTGCACCACGACTCATTCTGGTGCACCACGCCTCATTATGGTGCACAGCGACTAGCCCATGGTGCACGACGGTTCATGCTGGTGCATTACGGCTCATTCTGGTGCACCGCGGCTAGCCCATGGTCCACCACGCCTCATTCTGGTGCACCACTGCTCATTCTGGTGCACCACGGCTAGCCCATGATCGACCGCGGCTCATTCTGGTGCACGGGGCTAGCCCATGGTGCACCACGGCTCATTCTGGTCCCCCGCGGCTAGCCCACGGTGCACCACGACTCATTCCGGTGCACCACGGCTCATTCTGGTCCCCCGCGGCTAGCCCACGGTGCACCACGACTCATTCCGGTGCACCACGGCTCATTCTGGTCCCCCGCGGCTAGCCCACGGTGCACCACAGCTCATTCTGGTTCACCGCGGCTAGCCCATGGTGCACCACGGCTCATTCTGGTGCACTACGGCTAGCCTATGGTTCCCCTCCGCTCATTCGGGTGCACCATTGCTCATTCTGGTGCACCGCAGCTAGCCCATGGTGCACCAAGGCTCATTCTGGTCCACCGCGACTAGCCCATGGTCCACCACAGCTCATTCTGGTGCACCACGGCTAGCCCATGATCCACCGCGGCTCATTCTGGTGCACTACGGCTAGCCTATGGTTCTCCTCCGCTTTTTCGGGTGCACCACTGCTCATTCTGGTGCACCGCAGCTAGCCCACGGTGCACCAAGGCTCATTCTGGTCCACCGCGACTAGCCCATGGTCCACCACAGCTCATTCTGGTGCACCACTGCTAGCCCATGATCCACCGCGGCTCATTCTGGTGCACTACGGCTAGCCTATGGTTCTCCTCCGCTTTTTCGGGTGCACCACTGCTCATTCTGGTGCACCGCAGCTAGCCCACGGTGCACCGCAGCTAGCCCACGGTGCACCAAGGCTCATTCTGGTCCACCGCGACTAGCCCATGGTCCACCACAGCTCATTCTGGTGCACCACGGTTAGCCCATGGTCCACCACGGTTTATTCTGGTGCACCGCGGCTAGCCCAGGGTGCACCACGGCTCATTCTGGTGCACCGTGGCTCATTCTGGTGCACCGCGGCTAGCCCATGGTGCACCACGGCTCATTCTGGTGCACCGCGGCTAGCCCATGGTGCACCACGGCTCATTCTGGTGCACCGCGACTAGCGCATGGTCAACCACGGCTCATTCTGGTGCACCGCGGCTAGCCCATGGTGCACCATGGCTCATTCTGGTGCCCCGCGGCAAGCCCTTGGTGCACCACGACTCATTCTGGTGCACGAAGGCTTATTCTGGTGCACCGCGGCTAGCCCTTGGTGCACCACAGCTCCTTCGGGTGCACCACGGCTCATTCTGGTGCACCGCGACTAGCCCATGGTCCACCACGGCTCATTCTGGTGCACCCCGGCTAGCCCATGGTCCACCACGGCTCATTCTGGTGCACCGCGGCTAGCCCTTGTTGCACCACGGCTCATTCTGGTGCACCGCGGCTCTTTGTGGTGCAGCGCGACTAGCCCATGGTGCACCACAGCTCCTTCGGGTGCACCACGGCTCATTCTGGTGCACCGCGACTAGCCCATGGTCCACCACGGCTCATTCTGGTGCACCCCGGCTAGCCCATGGTCCACAACGGCTCATTCTGGTGCACCGCGGCTAGCCCTTGTTGCACCACGGCTCATTCTGGTGCACCGCGGCTCTTTGTGGTGCAGCGCGACTAGCCCATGGTGCACCACGGCTCATTCTGGTCCCCCGCGGCTAGCCCACGGTGCACCACGACTCATTCCGGTGCACCACAGCTCATTCTGGTTCACCGCGGCTAGCCCATGGTGCACCACGGCTCATTCTGGTGCACTACGGCTAGCCTATGGTTCACCTCCGCTCATTCGGGTGCACCACTGCTCATTCTGTTGCACCACAGCTAGCCCATGGTCCACCACGGCTCATTCTGGTCCACCGCGACTAGCTCATGGTCCACCACAGCTCATTCTGGTGCACCACGGCTAACCCATGGTGATGGGCCTTTGGTGCCTCTGGTGAGGGCCTAGGCCTGCTTGCTATGCTGTCGTATTAGGATTAGTATCCTTGATGGATATCTGTACCGTAGGGATCTATAAGCCCACTATGTTCCCTTCAGGGATGAGTCACTGTATGGATAATACCCTTAGCACAGGTACAGACCAGGCTAAGAGGTACTTGCCCAGTATAACAAGCAATCAGCAATGGATAAGTAAGCAATAGTATGACTCAAAGTAAATGGGCAGAATAACGATACATTAGATCCCCTTGGTGTGCCCAACAGGGCTATTTATAGGGAGGTTGTATGAGCCTCCAACGGGTTGGTGAGGAGGGGGTCAACCCTTCTTGGGGTTCGCTCCTGATAGCAGATGTCGTGGGGCGTGACAGGCGCTGCTATGATAGCAGTGATGCCCATGGTGGTGTCATGTATGTCAAACGGGGGTAGTTGGGGCGACTGCCTTTGGGGGTTGGGGTCCCGAAATGGGACATTTCGATGCTTTCCCTAGGACGCGTCGCAGCGTTGGGGGATGGAAGGGTCCACGTTTAGGGATAGGTTATTCTACCTACTACCATTTTGCCTACCTTTGCCTACCCGTTTTAATACCGTTCAATTACAATATCATCCAACGGTCGATATTTGTAATATAAAAAAACCTTTTTTTTTCTTTTTTTCTCCTCACTTCCTCCCGCACCCTTTCTCTCTCCTCCCATTTTTCTCTTCTCCCATTTTTCTCTTCCTCTGCTACCAGCATAAACTCATATTATCATAAACTTTTCCCAACATATGATGATGTCTCTACCTCAATCTTCCAAGTACCCTTAATCTTCTCACCTGATTGTTGGCGAATTTTTTTAAGGGAATGAACGGACTTTGGAACGGGGCGACTGGTTGCGAAGTGAGACTAGAACTTGTTGGCCAAATCGTCCCACTGGGTAGAATGGTGTACCAAGTCAGTGCTCTCCCTCCCAGAAGTGTGGGGAAAGTCTTGCACATGAGAAGATCCGTCTCTCCATGAAGGGTCATGGCCGCTTCAAACTTCTGGACCCACTCAAAAGGGTCTGTGTCGCCAATATATGTGGGAATGTTGGATGGGCCTTTGAAACCAAGGGGTATGGGGGTTAACCGCAAGTTATCGGTCAGCGGTTTGTTGCGTCCTGACGTATGAGCGGTTGTTATCCTTACATCAGGGTTGCGAGCACGCTGGTTCGGTTGTGGGTGGGGCATATGTGGAGCCTCAACCGAATAAGAGAGAGCTGGGGCGTGGTGCAAGGCCCGATTGACGCCGTATGGTGGTTGACCTGGATTTTGATAAACCCTTGGGGTTGTGGGATGGCCACGTTATGAGGCTACATAGCGTAACCGTGGAAAGGAAAACCAGCAAGGTACGGCTGAGGGAAGGGAGCAGCAACGTTGTGAGTGTAAGGCCCAGGGGGTACAGGGCGACCATAGGGATTCAATGGTCATTGTGCATAGCGACTGGCTGGCTTCGAACTGGTTGTGGACGATGGGTGAGTGGGATGGCTAATGGAGCAGTGGTAGGGAATGGGATTCCGAAATGAACTCCCGGCGGTGGGGGTTGGTTTGGGATTATGTTTTCCCCTTGCATTTCACGCACAGGTGCACGATGGTTAAACTGTGTTACTCTGTCGTCGGCTACTGGCAGTGGCGAGGCTCGTTCAACTGGGGCTGAGTGCATGGATGGCGGGGAGTTGGGATATACTGTTTGCACGTGACCGTCAGGGGTGACGGCTCTGCTTGTTCCGCCCTTCTGGTCGTGACAACCATGTCTAATTATCAGAGTCTGAAATGTGTCTTCTGGATCTTTGGTAGGAGAGTGGGAATAGAAGTTTATAGGTTCCCACATCGCACAGACGACGCCAATGTACCGTAGGGATCTATAAGCCCACTATGTTCCCTTCAGGGATGAGTCACTGTATGGATAATACCCTTAGCACAGGTACAAACCAGGCTAAGAGGTACTTTGCCCAGTATAACAAGCAATCAACAATGGATAAGTAAGCAATAGTATGACTCAAAGTAAATGGGCAGAATAACGATACATTAGATCCCCTTGGTGTGCCCAAGGGGGCTATTTATAGGGAGGTTGTATGAGCCTCCAACGGGTTGGTGAGGAGGGGGTTAACCCTTCTTGGGGTCCGCTCCTGATAGCAGATGTTGTGGGGCGTGACAGGCGCTGTTATGATAGCAGTGATGCCCATGGTGGTGTCAGGTATGTCAAACGGGGGTAGTTGGGGCGACTGCCTTTGGGGGTTGGGGTCCCGAAATGGGACATTTCGATGCTTTCCCTAGGACGCGTCGCAGCGTTGGGGGATGGAAGGAGATCGAGATGATGGCAACGCAGTGAAATTTAAAAAATGAGAGATGAAGGAATATAGAGACTTTGACGGCACCTCAAATTTCGGTGGTAACAGTCAAAATTTATGTCTTAAGATTTAGGGTTAATTTCATCGACAATAAGATATTGAACAAAGCAGAGATACAGGATAAGGAAATGAGAGACTCACCATTGGGGTCGATCATGAGCTTCTTGCTGGAAGAAAGAAGACAAAGTTAAATTCATCGACAACGAGAAATTGAACAAATCGAGAGGACGTCATGAATATTTGACTGTAGGCATTGCCATAATGAAGATACAAATTGCAACTAATTATTATTTGACTGTAGGCATTGCCATAATGAAGCTAAGGTATAATTTTTATTTTTATTTTTTTACTCCTGGCTTGCTTGGGTTGCATTTATTTTTATAATTTTTTTATTTTCCAAGTTGTATACTTTTTTTACACCGTGGAAGATCTAAGTGGCATGCATTTATTTTTATTTTTAATTTTTATAACTATTTTCAGGTGACAAGTCTATGATCAAGAGGAGATACGTGTACTTAACAGAAGATCTTAAAAGAGAACCCCGATGTTTGCACTTATATGGCACCTTCTTTGGATGCAACACAAGATATGGTGGTGATAGAGGTACCAAGACTAGGAAAATATGTTGCAACCAAGGCCATAAAAGAATGGGGCCAGCCAAAGTCCAAGATTTCCATGGAGTTGCTGCTTTTAATTTTGGAGGAAATAGTCTCTTGGTTTTTTTGTTTGTATTCTATTCTTTTTTTTTTCACCCCTTTTCTGCATTGGCAGAAGGATAACGTGCTTTTAAGTTTTGCCAAATAACATTTTCTTTCAAGTTTTGAGAATAGTTGTCGAATGAAATTTGGATTAATAAGTATTACACAAGTATCATTTCAGTCCTTTCAGCTCTTTGCGCACGTCCATAATATTTACTTTCGGTCAATTTTACGTAATTTGAATGGTAAATCAAGATTAATCTTTGGACAAAAAAATATTTATAGCTTTCAATCAACAGTACTTTTAGTATTTTTATATTAAACATGTCAAATTATTTAATTCTAATATATTGCTAGAATTAATATAAAAATAATTTGAAATGTTTAATATAAAAAAATTAAATAATTTAATTTTTTATTAAATTTCTTATTATTTAATATTAAAATATTCTAATGAAAATATGATACAAATAATTCTGCGTAAATTTAAACATCTTAAATTATTTTGCTAAAATATTGAGCGGCTTTTCAAATGAAAAATCCAAACCCTAGTTAACTTTTCAATTTCACAATTCACACTCATTTTTGCATTCACTGCCACAGACATTGGAACCATTTCACTTTTACTTTCACATCTCAATTCACATTTCAACCATGTCATTCGCAAAGACTTTTGAAATCATGTTTCTTAGCTCGAAATCGGTCCCAGGTAAATCTCTTATTTCCTTAGTTGACTTAGTTATGTTTGTTATTCCTTTCTTGCGCATAAATTCCCGTACAGTGTTGGATTCAGCTTGTTGAAAGTTGTTGGAGACGTATGTGCGTGTGTTTGGAATAACTGAACAGAGCATTGTGCGATTTTATTTTATTTTTGAAGAGAGAGAGGGTATATAGAACCAGGTAAGAGAGATGTTTTGAAGAGAGGGTAAATATAGAAAAGTGGGGGCAAGGAGAGATAAAGATGAGTAAAGTTAGGGGTCTTTGTCTTTATGAGTCATCTTTGTGTTGCCACACGTGAAATGAATAAAAAATTAGACAATGGGATAAGGCCCAGACTTGGACATTGAGTGTCTCAAATGTGTAGATTTTGAGAGTGAATGAATAGGAAAAGGAACTACAAGAAGCCTAGCCTTCGTGCATATCATTACTGAACAGGGTCAATGCATTTTACTCTGTGTCAAATAGGAAGCTATTTCAAGTAACAAAGTAATTTTTTGAGTCATCACTTTCCAAAGGAAGAAATCCCCTTTATCAAATAGGCCTGCAAATCGAGTCCCAACTCAGTATATCCCTTCTCTAGGCCTGCAATATAGTCTATTCTCTGTATCCAACTGACATGAAGACTAAATAAATTAATATTGGTGTTGGGATTTTTGTATTTTATTGGTGTTAAGCTCATCATGTGTCTTGAACTAAAGTCTATTCTTTGTATTCAACTGCCATGAAGTCTGAATAAAATGATATAACTCATCTAATTTTGGAACCTATTTATACATCATTTAAATTTTGACTAATATATTAATTAATTTATTCAATTTCATCTTTTGAGAACATCAATGCGCGAAATTATTTGTAATGTTTAGTTAACTGTTCATAAGTCTTTTAAAATTCTAAGTTCATCTTATTAAATTTTGAAGACTCCCAAATATATAAAATGTAATTCTGTTGTAGTTTTTGTCAAAGTTTGTTAAGGATTCAGCAATTATTGTTTTTGGTTGACCAACTAAGAGAGCAATCACACTTTATATACATTCTGTACCTGATTGCATTTTACATTTCTTGCAGTATTTGTGTCTGACTGATAGTGCCATTGGCTGCACCCTCAACTCAGTGTTATTTGAACTTTTTTTATCCAGGTATGTGTTGCTTAATTCCTATGTTGATCTTTATATTTATTATTGTTGAGCTTAATGTTTGACGTCTAAGTCTAAATATATATGAATAATTTATAATAAAATTAAGCCAAACTATTATTTTTTTTACTTATACTAATTTTAATTTTGAACTTTTAATATTGCTGGAAAAAACATTCCTGTTATGTTTTTATTAAAAAATAATACTACAAATACTTACAAACTTATTTATTTTTTGGATAATTTATCTAACCTGTCAATATACTATTGAGGTTGGATTTTTCATATGGGCTTGAACTTTTAACTAGTTCTTTGGAAAAAACATACCTGTTATGTTTATATTAAAAAATAATACTACAAATACTTACAATATTATTTATTTTTTCCATAATTTATCTAACCTGTCCATATACTATATAGGTTGGAATTATCATACGTAGTTGCACTTTTAACTACATGTTTGGAAAAAACATACCTGTTATGTTTTTATCAAAAAATAATACTACAAATACTTACAAAATTATTTAATTTTTCGATAATTTATATTTGCATGTCAATATACTATATAGGTTGGAATTTTCATATGGGCTTATGGGTCTGTGATAAATAACATGACTAATTTTATTAAATAACTTGTAAACTATGGGTTGTTCTTGGGATGAAGACAATTTTTTCCAACTTACATTTATTTTTAATTTACTATCCACAACGTTTTATAAATAGCTAGTGTAATTTTCATTTCGACAATTAATTTAAAATTTTAAATATGTAAAAAATAATATTATTTGATTTTTGACAATTAACAAATAAATCCTTTTATTAATTGGCCTAATATTTAGAATAATAATTTGAGACACATTTTCAATCATTATATTTAAACATTGACTGTTAAAACTATTTAGTTATTGAACTTTGATGTTTGCAGGAGTTGTTATTAATAAAATTAAGCTTCTTTGTTGCCTTGGAGGATTAGCTTGGTGTAAGGTTTCTTTAAAATTTCTGCACGGCTAAGATTGGATTTAGAAGTGGTAAAGTTTGATACCCGTGTCACACACTTTCATAAATGCTGTTTCCCCGATACATGATGCCATTTCCCCCTTCCATAGATTTAGTAGGTAGTTGTACTTTGAATGAGTTGCTTCAGAAATACTTCAACTTTGGCATGCAAAGGGTTTGCATCTCTATAACTGAATCACAGCTATCCATGAAAGAGTATTTTGGTTTATTCGTTTGATATTAGAAATTTCGTGGATAAGGTTATGCAAAATTTATTGGCACAATATTGTTAAATTTTTTGAATATAAATGCCATTTGCCACCAATGCAGGGCTTACTTTATATAGGTTTATGATTTAGTTATGATATAACCCTCATCCTTAAACACAAGTCCTTACCCCAAAACCCTAACCATAAGACACAAACCCCCATCCCTAAACGTAACACATAATCCTTACACCTATGAATTAAACAAAGAAACCCTAACACAAACACTAACGTAACCCTTTGCTGATAATTAATTTGATTTTCCTTGCAGCACATTAAACCCTATGGAAGGTTCAAATGATAGGAATTGGATGTACACCCGCATAGATGAGTCAAGGTCAATCACTATACAATTTCAACAGGGAATTGAGAGGTTCATAAGCTTCGCTCTAGAACATAAAAGAATCTCAGCACATAAGTTGCGGTGTCCTTGTAGAAAGTGCAAGTGTAAGGAATTCCATAATCCGGACACGTTGAGGGTGCATCTGTGTAAGTACGGCTTTATGCCTGATTACTATTGCTGGACGAGTCATGGAGAAAGTCATTCGAAGCATCCCCCATTGGTTGATAGGCATTCTTATTATGGCAGTAGCGGACAACGACATAACTACGACCATTATGAGCAGTTGGTCATGGATGCTGCAGGTCCAAATTTAGGGGCACACCTAGAGGTTTACACAGAGGAAAATCAACCTTTGATGGCTGAAGATCCTAATCCCGAGGCTTCACAATTTTTCAATATGCTTCAAGCTTCCCAACGTCCACTGTGGGATGGCTGTGAGACACACACTACCCTATCTGCTTGTCTAACAGCCCTAAGCTTAAAAACAGATTATCGGATGACAGAGGGGTGCTTTAATCAATGGATGAAGTTTGTTGGAGATGTTTTGCCGCCAGGCCATTCCATGCCAAAGGATTTCTACAACGCCAAAAAATCGGTGAAGAACCTCGGCCTTGGAGGAGAGAAGATACACTGCTGCCGTAATGGGTGCATGTTGTTTTATAAAGAATATGCACAACTCAATACATGCAAATTTTGTAAAGAAGATCGGTATACAGATGTGATGAAAGATGGAAAGGTTAAAGCAAAACCATTGAAGAAGATGTGGTATTTTCCTCTAGTACCTAGGCTTCAAAGATTGTACTCTTCAGAGCAGACAGCTAGTCAAATGAGATGGCATCGAGAGCATGAGAGAAATATTAATTCCTTGACCCATCCATCAGATGCTGAAGCGTGGTTGCACTTTGATGAAAAAAATAATGATTTTGCCCAGGATCCCCGTAATGTGCGCATTGGTTTATGTTCAGACGGGTTTGCTCCTTTTGAGATGACTGGGAGGACATATTCTTGTTGGCCAGTTATTATTACTCCATATAATCTACCACCATGGATGTGCATGAGAAGAGAGTTCTTGTTCTTATCATGTATTATCCCTGGGCCTTCAAACCCAAAGCGCAACATTGATGTTTATCTAAGACCCCTGATAGATGAATTAAAAATGTTATGGACTTGTGGGGTCCTAACATATGATGTTTCTTTAAAGCAGAATTTAATTATGAGGGCTGCGTTGATGTGGACAATTAATGACTTTCCCGCATATGGTATGTTGTCCGGATGGCAGACGATGGGGAAACTTGCTTGTCCGATTTGTATGGATAAATGTAAAGGGTTCAGTTTGCAACACAGTCATAAAGTATCATGGTTTGATTGTCATCGTCAATTCTTGCCATTAAGTCACCCATACAGGAAAAACAAGCATGCATTCACAAAGGGCAGGGTTGAAACATCAAATATACCAATAAGACTTAGCGGTGAAGAAGTATGGCAAAGAGTTAGAAACTTAATGAGTGCGGAGGAAAATGCAAACTTTGTTCCCGATGAAGAATATGGACAATCCCATCATATGACAAAGCGAAGTATATTTTGGGAGTTGCCGTATTGGAAAGATCAGTTATTGAGACATAATCTTGATGTCATGCACATTGAGAGAAATGTCTTTCTTAATATATTGTACACAATGATGGATACAAAGGGCAAGACGAAGGACACTTATAATGCAAGAAAGGATCTTGAAAATCACTGCAACCGATCTGTTCTCCATTTATTGGTCCAACCAAATGGAAGGGTAAGTAAACCCAAGGCTCAATACACATTAAACAAAGAACAAAAAACTGAGTTATTACAGTGGATCAAGGACCTTAAATTCCCAGATGGATATGCTTCAAAGATGTCTAGATGTGTTGATATGAGAGAGGCTAAATTGTTTGGCATGAAGAGTCACGATTGCCATGTTTTCTTCCAGAGATTGCTACCATGGGCCTTCAAGGCCTTACCCAAGCATATTTGGAATGCACTTATTGAGTTAGGTGTATATTTTCGAGACATATGTGCATCTGAATTGAGTGTTACCAAATTGCAAGAGATGGAGGTGAGTGTACCAATAATGCTATGCAAGTTGGAGATGTTTTTCCCACCTAGTTTCTTTGACTCAATGGAGCACTTGCCCATACATCTGGCATACGAAGTAAGAGTAGGTGGTCCGGTTCAATATCGATGGATGTATCCATTTGAAAGGTAAATGCCATGTACATACAGATTTATAGTTACATAATGCTTATAAAATTAATTATAACATGCATGAAATTCAGATTTATTCGGACCACAAAGCAAAAGATTGGGAATACAAATCATGTTGAAGGCTCGATTGCTGAGAAGTATCTGCTTGAGGAGATGTCTACATTTGCATCTTATTATTATCCACCAGAGTTCCTGACGAGAAGGACACGAGTCCCTCGAAATGATCATGGTTGTGGCACTACTGAAGGTGCCTGCATACAAAAATCAATTTTCAATTATCCTGGACGCTCCATCGGAAGGAAATCACAAACAACTCTTAACTCCATTGATAGGAAGACAGCAATATTATATACTCTTCTAAACTGCAGCGAAGTTGTTCCATACTTAGAGTAAGTATATAATATAATGCACTGTCCATAATTACAAAACTTATAGTCAGGGTTTCATTGACGATGTTGATTTTCATGCCAGGATGTTCTACAACTTAGAACGACAGCAAAACCCTCTGATAACAGATACACAGCTTGACCATAAAACAACTACAGAGTTTCCAGACTGGTTTTCTAGAAAGGTATACATTCAAAACCTACGAGATAAATGTATTTTGTGTTGCCACCCAATATTAAGTTGTGTTTTAATACTCAATGTAGATCAAACTCAATTGCAATGCTCTTCAAGATGTTGTGTGGAGTTTAGCTTGGGGGCCAAGCCAGATGGTCACCCGTTATCCAAAGTATATAATAAATGGCTACAAGTTTGCCACGAAATCATCAAATCAAGGGATGGCTACAACAAATTATGGAGTTTGTGTTCGAGGATCCCAGTTGGAAAGTTTAGAAGTTGATTACTATGGGGTATTAATAGATATTATTCAGCTGGACTACCTTGGGCAGGGCCACACAAAGTTACTTCTTTTTAAATGTGAATGGTTTGATCCTAGCCCTCAAGGCACACGTAAAGATCGGTATGGCAATGTTGAAGTGAACAAGTCCAGAAAATATAACAGATATGACCCATTTATATTTGCTCAACAAGCCGAACAAGTTTATTACACAACTTATCCTGGTCGTCAACAAGAATGGATAGGGGTTATCAAGACCAAAGCACGGAACATTATCCCGGTGACAAGGGTTAAAGAAACTCAGAGCATTGATGAACCTTACCAAGAAGATGCCATTGTGGATGTGCATGTTCACATCGCCGATGATGACATACATCAAAATCTTGTTGACACTATGACTGAATTGGAGACAATCCCGATACATTTGGTAGATAATGATGAAACGGAGGAAGATGAACAAGAAATATTATCATCGCCTGAGTCGGAACTTGACGATTATGAAACTGATGAGGAGAATATATAATATAATCATAGTATTTTGGTTGCTGCTATAGCACAAGACATATGGTTTCCACTAGGCAATTTGTTATTTTCTTTCATAGAACATGTACTAGTTGATGATATTGTTGTAGGTTTTGATGTGATGCATGAAGTTAATGTATTTAACTTTGTTTTGATATATTAGTCTTTTTGGCGTAATTATTGTATACCTTTTCTTTTCTCAATATCCTATATTTTACTTACTCACTCACAATGTTTCTTTGTTTTATGACATCCAATAAATAATCTAAATACATTATTGTGATTTATTTCGAATTAGATGGCATCTCCTGACCCGATACGTGGACGGGTGGGTCAGAGGGGATTTTCCCTTTATGGATCCACGGGTCGTGGTTCTGCAAATTGTTTTGGTAGATTGTCTGTCCAAGGCAGAAGACAAGACAGTTCATCATCTTCTTCGCAAGAAGCGACGCCGTCGCCTATTGGACAACCAGTACCTTCGATATGATTTCATACCCCAGAGACAAACATAGCTTCTCTTCAAGAAGATAATGAGGTTTGTGATCTTACTAAGTATAAATCTTTTCACTGATCTATTATGTAATTTTATTTGTATGCAATTTAATGTTTGGGTTATATATTGTGCAAATTACCAATTATTTTAACTACTTAATTAGCAGTTACCCCCCAGCAGCATAATGTAGCTTCTCCTGAAGAAACCAATGAGGTTTGTCATCTTACCAAGTATAAGTGGCCTCACTTGATACGTTATCTAATTTTATTTGTTTGCACTTCCTTGTTTATTTAATATATTGGGCAATTTACCAAATAACTTAACTACTTGATTTAGCAGGAGGACTTAGATCCAACATCAGGTCCAGTACCTGAAGGATTTATTCCAGATTGGGGGAAGAAAGATCCCGCAGATGGTCGAGTATGGGTTCATCCCACCCCGGATGGAGGGACGTAAGTTTTCTTCTTATTGACACATTGTATATATTATTGATAACGTTAAAACTACTATGGTATGTTTTATGTTTATAATCGAATAATGACATAATGACTTATGTATCACAAATTGTTTTAGGTTTCATTCCAACCACGTCATTCGCAATATAACTGAAATCATAAAACGGAATTATGATGGCGCATGGCCAACTTATAGGAGTGTGCCCCCCGAAGTTAAAAAACATTGGTATAAGGAATTCATGGTAAATTGACCCTAAATTACATTATAGTATCTCCTCTTTATATTTTAATTTATACATTTTTGACATGTTTCATATTAACCGTACTAAAATTTTATCCACTTTTGACATTGCAGAAGAAATATAAATGCTTGCCTGATGATAAAAAAAGATATGAAAAAGCATTTAGGACAAAGGCAATTGATCTCATTAAGAATCACATGCATTGCCTAAGAGAAGGAAAAGGGGATGCATCGTGGATTGCAGAAGAACAACTTGAACAATTGCAGGAATATTGGAATAATAACGAAGCTTGGAAAAGAAAGTCTGAAATCAATAAGAAAAATAGATCTGCATGCACTGGACCTTCACATGCTGGAGGATCAATATCATATGCCGAGCATAAAAGGCGGATTGTAAGTACATTTGTGTTATCTTATTCTATATTTATTATTATTAATTATTGTTTTAATTATTAGAGTAGACTGACACAAAATTTGATTTTTGTACTATTTCATACAGATAGCGGCTGGGAAGACACCACCGGGTGAGGAAAATTGGGAGTTATACAAGCAAACTCATCAATTCACCCAAGAACCCCAAAATTGGATACATAATAAGGCAATGCGAATAGCCGTAAGTACAATTGAAATCTTCTTAATATATATGCTTTTGTATTTTGTTATTATTTTTACTTACACTAATATATGACACTGTTGATGGCCATTAGTTTTTTGTCAATGAGTTGCCTCAGTAAATAAAAAATAGTTTTTATATGTCTGTCACCCATTGTGACACCTCTTTCATAGACTCATGCGAGCATATAATATGAGATACAATTGCTTTATAAGCATTTCAGATCTTCCTGGATCCATAATAATTAATAGCCATAGCAATGTCATTCTAATTCTTTATTTGTTTATATTTCAAATCCTTCAAAATAAATAGTTAATTAAAAATCAAAATTCGGTTAAAGGAGACTAATTTAGGATTTTACTTTTGAAGTAAGGTTCATTTGAGTGTTTTCACTTTCCTTTATATATTCTTATATTGTACATATGTAAAAGTCTTATTCCCATGTTGATTAAGGAAATAAGCGTCCATGATTGATATATTACAAAAGCCAAGGCAACTAAAAGTCTTTGAGGGAAAAGGTATGTTTAGAGCCATGCAAATATTTTATTGGGTCACTGAAAGATTGTCAATTTTCTATAGCATGGTTGTAAAAGATACCAAAGGTGAAGCGTCCTTATTTGTGGGTGATTTTGTTTCATCGGGGTTGATATATAGTAAGATTACTATGTATATAAAAATATATTAAAAATTATTTAAACACTTATGTAAATTAGTGGCAAAATTGAACTCTCATGTCCTCTCTTTGTTTGAATGAGCGGTGTGAATATAATAGAATAGGAAAACAGTTTTAGTAATGAGCGGTGTGTACACATCTAAATCTCATAATACATTACTGATTGTTGTATTCTCTTTTGCTTGGTGGGGTTGGCGTGCCAGAAGTTCAATTTGGAATTATATATTGTTATTTTGTTGACGCTTGAATTACCTTTGTGTAAATAAAATAGAACTTACACAAAAAATTAAGATATAAATATAAAAAACTAACAAACAAAATAATCAAGTAAAATAAAATTTAGAAACAAAATATTTATGAAATAAACACATGACAGATTGATTAAATAAAAAAAATCATAGGAAAGAATGGAAAAGAATTAAGTAAGAAAGTTTTTTCTTTACACAGTTTATATTTTCTTTTAGTAAAAAATGAACATTAAAGCAATAGCTAAGGTAGAAAAAAAAATGATTTAAAATTAAATAAAACAACAATGAAAGTAAATGACTAAGTAAACATATGAGCACCCATTTGTTGTTTTTATTACTTTTCTAATCACCTTTCCATTTCATTCACTTCATTCACGTGTTGTGGTGTCAACAAAAATGAATTTGTTGGGTACATGTCAGTTTGCATGTTAGACTATATATATATATAGTCTAACGTGAAATGAAGTGTCTTTGGAGCTTTATTTCACAGACACCTTGATATTTGATAGTCACAAGCACTTTCATAGAATACCACATAGTATAATTAAAATTTAGAAATGACAAAAATCAAAAGTACAAATGATATATATAGAATAGTGAAGGAAGATACTAGCGTCTAACCAATTTTTTAGTGTATGCTTTAATAACAAAAATTAATCTATAACAATAATTTCGACAAAGAACCAATAAAAAAAAAAATTAACATGAACACAAGAATACAGTTGTTTGTTTTTTATGTACGGTGTTTGGGATTGATATTGCGTGTAAACAACTTGTTTGTTTTTTATGTACTGTGTTTGGGATTGATAGTAACAATTTAGTTTTATTTATTGTGCATACTTTGTAGGAAACTTACACAAGGATGAGGGAAGAAAGGCAGATTCAGGCCACATCAGGGGAGGAAGGTAGTGGTTCAGCTTCAGATATTGACCTATATGTGGAGGCAGTTGGAGGGCCAGACAAGAAAGGAAGGATTTATGGATTAGGATCTGAAGCAGGAGCTTACAAAAAATCACGTCTATCCAACACAACACCTTTTGGAGTCTCACAACAAGAAACTCATAGGATGCGCGAGGTGGTTACACAACTAACTAATGAGAATACATCTATTAAGGTTTAGCTTGCACAATCTGAGAGCCGGCTTGCACGCTCTGAGACCACAATAGAAGTAATGCAAAGGCAAATGCGAGAGATGCATGATATGAGCGCAGGATCCCGCAAACAATGTTGTATAGTCCTAGTTGCTTAGAATCTCAGTATCAGGTGGATAGCGACGAGACACTAGCAGCAACCCAAGACCCTAACAATGAAGATGAACAACTTGGTGATGATCATAGGGAGGATTGATGAGGATTGATATCAGAATTTTTTGTGTGGTTACAGATGTCACTTTTTCACACCTAGTGCCTTTAACATTGTTATTCATTTGTATGTGTGATATAGACTTGATTTAGTACTGCTAATCAATTTATGATGTTTTGATGTTAGTTTGAATATATATTGCACTTTTTGTTATGTATGGTAATTTGGGTAATTGATGGTACGTTGGAATTTTTGTACGTAAGCAATGTTTTCATATCACTATTTTTTTATCACTATTTTTTTAAACATTTTTGTTTCACTATTTTTTTAACATTTTTTTTCCAAAGCAAAACCAACTGAGAATGCAAATATTGAGAAAGATTAGAGCACATCTACAAGTTATCAGAGTATGGTTCCTTCAATTGGACTTTTTTATGCTTATGTTATATATGTGAAGTATACTAATTATTTATTTCTTCTTGTTAGGTAGCATATCTTTTCAAGGCAGCTAGTGGGGGGCCAGTGAATGGTGAGTAATTGTATAAGGTATATATTTTTTATGTCATATACATATATGTACGTAAGCCTAAGCAATAACTGAACATTAATTAACTAAACCAAATGAACAATAACTGAACCTAACAATGTTTGTAGCTCTTACTCATTTCAAAGCTGTTTTAAGAAATATGAAATTTTCAGTGACAATCTTGTTGGATAGGCACATATTGTTTAACTACATTATTTATTGATTGGAACCTGGAAGTGCTATGCCTTTCCTTTTATATTTGAACCATCTTGCTTTTTGTTATGTTCTATCTCATTTTGCCCTCAAATTGTTTGATATTTGGTCGGTGTGTGCTTGCTCTAGTTGGAAAGATTGCCTTATGTATGGCTACATGCTCTGTTAACTTATATTCTACTTGAGTAGAAGTCTTAAATTCTTATCTGTTAAAATATGAAAATAGATACATTATAAAACAATGGTAATAGATACTGAATACATATATGAAAATTAAAATAATATATAAGTCTTAAAATCTTCAAATTATATTATACAAAATAATTAAAATGTTTATGTTAAATTTAAAGTTGATGTAAAATCTGCAGGCAAATGACATTTTGGTCTAGACTAGTTTTGGTTTTTGTTTTGTCTTCTAACTAAATTTTTTTGTCATCTAACTAATAGATGTAAAATGACAATAGCAGGTATCAAGTTTTTTTTTTGTCTTCTAACTAATTTTTAATTTTCATTTCCATGAGATCATTACTTATTGAAGTTTTATTTCATCCAATAGCAGGTATGCCTTGTCTGTGAAAAATTGCAGTTCATAATTCTATATAATAACTCATTTACAAAACTTCAATGAAAAAATTATAACCTTTCTATTGTATTTTTATTGAATGGTGGGAAACTCTTTTCTCTTTATAAAAACTAAGCTCAGGAACAAAGAAAAACTCTTTCATTTTAGGCTTTGAGGTTATGAGGTTTTTTTTTTTTTTTTGAGGTTATCAGTTATTTGTCTTTGAGGTTAAGAGCTATTTTTTTTTAAAATTTGGCTGTAACTGTATTTGTAGGCTTGACACGAGCTTTGATATCCTTCATGGGTACCCTTTGGTTGTAAGGCCAGTTTATAGAATGCCTTGCAAATTCCAGCCTTTTACGATACTTCAGGTATTATTTATCATCTCTTTCTCTTGTGCTAATTTTTCCATTTTTTTGTCTATGTTTGACTACATTGTTTGCATCTTTGCTTAAGGACAAAAAAGATCTGGAAATAAATTCATCATGGAAGAAAAAAGAACACTACTGGAGTGACACGTCTTCATATGACATATTAGTTAGTGTGTTTTTTACATTTTTCATTGTAGGATCGGATTCTCATTTATTATGCAAACGATTTTCTTTCTTATATAACCGTTCAATTATCTTTTTAGATATTACAAGTTGCAATATAATTCTTTTTCCTCAATCAAATCCCAAGTTGCAGTGCCAAATGTAAATGATATTACAAGGTTATCTTCTAGTAACAATTTATGATTACCTGTAGATTGGGGAAGTTGTTGATGGACGGGAGGAATCAAATGGCTATGCCTAAATGATGTTCAAAATGATTATGGTCAGTTTTCTGTGTTTTCCTTGATCACTTGATTAGGTTTACTTTCTTCACACGCATTTCTTAGAATTTTTACCTCTGTTGTTCTGTTTGATGTGGATATTGAATTGGTCTTGAAGTAGAGTGAAGTGTGAAATTATTTTACCTATAATTTTTTTCTATTGCAGATCCTTCATGACAAACAAACAGTGCATATTTTGGTGGCTAGCGCAAGTGTTAAGACATCAGCCTTTAGTTAGCATTTTTCTTCTGTTTCATGTATTTTCTGTAGACTTCATTTGAACTTAAGTTATCTTGTTAATACATTATTAATTTGTCATGAAGCATTTAATTGTTAGAGAATATTATTATAATAATTTTCAGAGAATATTTAATTGTTAGAAGCATTTTTCATATTTAGGTAAATTCTCTTTTAATTAAAATTTAGATTTTTTTTTTCATTTAGATTGTATGTAATTGTAGTGTTTTTTTAAAAATAAAACAAGTTGTTTATGTTGCTTATTTTTGTTGCTTATTCTGTTGGTTGAGAAAATCGACTCCAAATCACGTAGGCAGTTTTCAAAATGACGTCAATATTTACGTTAGCATTCCGAATTTAATGTTTGTTGAATTAAAATCCATATGAATTTAATGTTTTTTAAAAAATTACAAATATTATTTTCGACGGAATTCTATGTACATTCCGTTGTAAACGGTTAAGAATTTGCAACGGAATTTAATTCCGTTGAAATTTTCGACGGAGTTATACATAAATTCCGTTGCAAACTGTTACGGAACTTTTTCTCCGCGTGATATTTCTTTGGGTGGAAATTTTTCCCGTTGAAATTTTCAACGGAATTATAGTTAAATCCGTTGGAAATTGAAACGGAACTTTTGACAGAATAATTTTTCGTTGGTATTATAGACGGAATTGTAGATAAATTCCGTTGAACTTTACAACGGAATTTTTTCACGAATATTTTTTCTGTTGCAATTTTCGACGGAATTTTTCAACGAGAAATAATTTCGTCAAAAATTTCAACGGAATATTTTTTAATTTCCGTTGCAAATTGAGACAGAATTTTCTAACGGATATATTTTCCGTTGAAACTTTCGACGGAATTTATTATTTTAATATTATTTCATGACTTTATTTATTAACGGAAAAGTAAGGCTTGCAACGGAATTCATTCCGTTGAAATTTTCAACGGAAAAATATTCCGTTGTAAATATCAACGGAAAAAAAAAATTCCGTTGCCTTTCGACGAAGGGTTATCCAACAGCAGCATTCCGTCAAAATTTCCGTCGAAAAATGGTTTTTCAACGGAATTTTTATAATTTCCAACGGAAAATTTCCGTTGAAAATATTGATTTTTCTAGTAGTGTAATAGGATTTATATTTATCCACACAAAAAAAAATTCTTATAGTTGTGTCTAAATTATTATTCATCTATATTTTCTATAGTTGCCTCTAAAGATGAATGTGAAATTTTAATTTAATTATAAAAATATGTTGGCATGCAGGGTTGGGCCGAGCCTGATTTGCCACGTCTAACAATCAGCATTTTATACCAACATGTAATAGATTTTTATATTTATCCACAAATAACAGGTCAATTAAAGATTTCTAAATATAGATTACCAAAAAAAATATTTCTAAATATATATATTTAAAAATTTGTTATAAAATATTTTTTTACGATTCTGAAATTGGATGGACACTGGTCACTGAATGGTCGTTCATTTTATTTGAGTTATTAATAATAAAAAATAATTATTTGTTGCAAAGATTTGTGGCTTTTTACAAAAATCTAAATTATTTATGATTCTTAAAATTAAATATTAATGATATTTTTCAAACAATTAGAAGTTATTTTTTAAATTTTTTAGAAAATATTAAAGCTACACTTTTTAGGTTTTAGTTTTATGAAAAAATTATTTAATTATCATAAGCTTCTAAACATATTTTTATAATTAAAACACATTTTTAAAGCTAACTACTCAACGGGTTGGAAAAATGTAATCGTAAATAGCATTAAAATATTATTTCAGTAAAACTTATTTTTTAAAGCATCTAACAAAATAAGGTTTGGTTTGTTTTTTGCAGCAACAAAATTAATTAATCCTAAAAGATATAATAATTAAGCCCAAAAGATATAATTATAAATACTATTAATATGTTTAACAAATTCTTATGTAGAAAGTATTTGGAATCATTAAATGCTGAATTCTTTTTCACCTTTCAAGTTTGAATTTCAAATTTAAAATTTAAATTTTTTAATTTTAAATGTTAAATATTTTCTCACCCAGTAAACATAATCATAAATATTATTAATAGGCTTAATAATTTACCATTAAGAAAGTAGTGGTAAATGCGCCCATTCTCAAAATAATACTTTTATTCATCACGAATAAGCGCTTAACAAAATAATTTTTTTTTATGCAGCATTAATAGAGTTTACAATTACCCATGCAGAAAGTAGTGGGATATTGATATAGGTGGCTAAGTCAGCATTAAAGATATAATATGATTTTTTTTTTGGTAAGTAGATTTGATATGATTTAAATCTTTTACCATTTAAATATGAAATTTTATGATTATTTTTCAATCAAATCGATTTAATCAAGATTTTTTATGGTTTTTTTAAGTTAGAATTTTTATTCACTTCATTGTCTATTTCGCGTAGAAAACTTGATTATTCAGCGTCCGAAAGTTTAGCACAAATACCTAAAAAAATCTAGGCCTAGATTAATTTTCCGCAGTATCCATAGAGAATCAATGTTCTGAAAAATCTCAAACGAATCATGCAAAGCTCTCATATTTTTCTCCACTCAAAACCAAATCAATTGTACTAAAAAAAAAAATCAAAATCAACTAAGCTCAAATTATGTAATTGAGGTATTTACGTTTTTTTACTTACACAAAAATAAAATTTTAATTTTCTCACAAGATCAACTTATTATTTTTAGAATTTTCTACGAGTAGATTTCATATTTTAACAACTTAAATAAATTAATTAAAAATCATTATTTCTAATCATATATTCTTTATTTATCTCTTACAACATGCATATATCAGCATATCTAACTCAAAAGATTCATTAAGCTTTTAGCATTACCAAATATCATGATCAGGCTCGCAAAACATGAAAATATTTTCAGTTCTCCCACGTAATACTTAAGGTTCAGTATATTTTTTTATTAAATTTGGAAAAAAAATCATATAATCAATTTTTCTTATTTTACCAACCCTTTTATTATTATTGTCGTCTAAAACTCACTTTTTTCTATTTTTAATAAGGGAATACATACTCTTATAACAACAAAAATATAATCGCGGAACACAATCATCCTTCATAATTACAACTAACAACCATTATCTCGTGTTTCTCAGTATATACTATACTAGTATATTACGCATGTGTTGTACGGGAAAAAAAATTAATTTGTTTGTCTTGTAAAAGTTAACGCAAATTGTAAAAATATATCACTGCATTTTAGGTTGTCTTATAATCATTCAAAAATTACAAAGTTTGACTCGATATTTACAAAATAAGAATAAATAATTATTTTTTCCAAGGATTTGTGTTCTTAGTATTGGAAATTTTACAATTTTGTATTTATAAAAATTGAAATTAGATTAAGAAATTTAATTATAAAAGAAGAAATTGGAATTTAATTTTACCTCCTTTAACTGTCAGCATTTTATATCAGTGTGTAATAGGATTTTATATTTATTCGCACAAAAAAAAAGATTCTTATAGTTGCGTTTAGATTGCTATCTATCTATATTTTCTATAGTTGCCTCTAAATCGACTATATGAGGTGCGTGTATTTGTGACATATATATTAGATGAAAAGTTGGCAAATGTTTAAGTTAGTACGTTTAATATTATAACAAACATTTCATACTTGAAGTTGAATGTGGTAATATCAAAAGACAATTCTTAAATCATATTTCAATTTTTATAAATATTTATTCATAGAATTAGTGCTATATATAAGGATATATTTAATGCATGGTATTTAATCTCAATAATACTTCAACTACCAATAATAATTTGGTGAAGAATATGAAAAGCTAACCACTCATTAGGTTGAAAAAACTAATCATAAATAGCATTAAAATAATGATATACTGCAAAATATTGAATGGTCATTCCTTTTAATTGAGTAACTATAAGAATAAAAAATGTTTTTTTTAAGGATTTGTGTCTTTAGTATTTAAAATTTTACAAATTTGTATTTATAAAAATTGATATTAGATTTAGGAATTTAATTATAAAAGAAGAAGATGAAATTTTAATTTAATTATAAAAACATGTTGGCAGGGGGCGGGCCGACCCTCCGGGCCGAGCCCAGTTTGTCACCTTTAACTGTCAGCATTTTATATCAGCATGTAATTATAGGATTTATATTTATCCACACAAAAAAAAATTCTTATAGTTGTGTCTAAATTATTATTTATCTATATTTTCTATAGTTGCCTCTAAAGATGAATGTGAAATTTTAATTTAATTATAAAAATATGTTGGCATGCAGGGTTGGGCCGAGCCTGATTTGCCACGTCTAACAATCAGCATTTTATACCAACATGTAATAGATTTTTATATTTATCCACAAATAACAGGTCAATTAAAGATTTCTAAATATAGATTACCAAAAAAAATATTTCTAAATATATATATTTAAAAATTTGTTATAAAATATTTTTTTACGATTCTGAAATTGGATGGACACTGGTCACTGAATGGTCGTTCATTTTATTTGAGTTATTAATAATAAAAAATAATTATTTGTTGCAAAGATTTGTGGCTTTTTACAAAAATCTAAATTATTTATGATTCTTAAAATTAAATATTAATGATATTTTTCAAACAATTAGAAGTTATTTTTTAAATTTTTTAGAAAATATTAAAGCTACACTTTTTAGGTTTTAGTTTTATGAAAAAATTATTTAATTATCATAAGCTTCTAAACATATTTTTATAATTAAAACACATTTTTAAAGCTAACTACTCAACGGGTTGGAAAAATGTAATCGTAAATAGCATTAAAATATTATTTCAGTAAAACTTATTTTTTAAAGCATCTAACAAAATAAGGTTTGGTTTGTTTTTTGCAGCAACAAAATTAATTAATCCTAAAAGATATAATAATTAAGCCCAAAAGATATAATTATAAATACTATTAATATGTTTAACAAATTCTTATGTAGAAAGTATTTGGAATCATTAAATGCTGAATTCTTTTTCACCTTTCAAGTTTGAATTTCAAATTTAAAATTTAAAATTTTTTAATTTTAAATGTTAAATATTTTCTCACCCAGTAGACAT